GGCAGCATCCGCAGATGTAATCGCAGCACTGGACACACAGACAATTTGCCTCAGCCCTTCCGCCAATGTTTGGCTGAGCTGTGTGCGATGGGCTTCAAGATCGAGGAGCATCTCGGACTCCGTGAGGTGGATTTTTTTTCGGATGATTTTGTGGTTGAGCAGCGGCGCTCCAGGGACTCCAAAGCATCCACGGATCCAGGAGAACAGCCGTGGTGGCGTTCAGGCTGTTTAGGTTCGCCGAATAATCCGTGCTTTCCGATCTTTCGGCGGGTGCAAGGAAGTTGCTCAGACTAATGGATTTGTGTTGGATGGGCTATCTGCAGATGTGGATCCGTGCTGGACCCCGAGGATCGTGCACCCCGATGAGCAGAGATTCGCGAGGCAGTTCGTGCGCCTTGGTATGCTATGCGAAAAACAACACGCCAGGGCTTTGTGCTATGGCAGGCACTTTCCCTGAAAATGCTTGAATAACAGTCATAGTCATAGCCTCAGTCCCGAAGTCGGTTTGTGGAAGGGACTGTGGAGTTTATTAGGATTACTTGCATCATGGCCCTTTGCCCACCTGAGTCAGGTACCGGGTTGGCCGTTTCAGCTACTCAGGATTACTCTGCGAACCGTAAGGGCAGTACTGCAAAAAAAAACGTGCAGACATTGCACTCGCTTTCTCTGCCACAGCAGACCCACCGCCTACTAAAGGCATGTCGAAAAGAGCTTAGAGCAGCCCCTTTCTGATTAAAACTGACTTGAGCCCAAGACTCTGAGACCTCCGCCCGAAACCCTGAACCAAAAACCAACCAAGAACTCTCTCCCGGGCCCATCGCCCTTAATTGCTCGAGGGCTGAAGCCCTGAACACCCCAAAACCGAGGTGCAGCGTCTGCCTCTGCATCCTGAGCGATCCCATGCAGACGATCTGTGACCACGTCTTCTGCACCTCGGCGAGGGGTGGTTGACATCTAGTGGTGTAGGCGGGTCGACGGTTCAGAGCTTCCGGGCTTGGGGCTCAGGGCTTTCGGGTTTAGGGGGCTATAGGGGGCTATTTCCGCGAGGGTTTCGATGTCTTGGGGGACACTTGAGGCTGAGCTCTTTTTGTGACCAGAGTTCTCCAAAAACAGGCCGCCACAGTACCGTAGCCCAAGGAACTCTGATGTGATGGGCTCGTGCAGAGTGTCAGGTAGTCTGTGTGACGAGTGTGTGTGTGTCCAGAAGCGCATAGCTTTCACTTGTAGCAGCACTAAGTCTGCACGGTCCCGAGGCGGCGAGTGCATTTCGCCCTGTTTGGCTTGTCCGCAGCTGGTCAGTCAAGAGCTTGAGTAATTTTTGGGCTTAGTCTTGAGGTTCCGGCACGCCGGCATCCCGCGATTTCCAGGTTCAAGGCCGGAGCTAAATATGCAGGAAGCAAGGTGAAGGCGGTTGGGTTTGGAGTTGGCTGACATCTCCCAAATCCGGGCCCCGAAAAACTTTCTGAAACCTAAAGGCCTAAATGTCTTCGTCTTGAGTTGAGACGAGTCGCGGTCCGATTCTCGCTGGGTGTCATACGGAACCGGCCAAGCACCAAGAACCTCGCCTGGCGAGCGTGAGTGCTGAGCCCCGAATATGTCTCAGCCCGGCGAGGCTTTCCGAGACCTCTGCGAACAGAAAGGGACTTCTCAAAAAACACCCGCGAGTTGTGAGTGTGAGTGCTGCAACCCTGGAAGCAGCCCTAAGCCCTTGCTTGTCCGAGTGTGAGTGTCAACACATTCAAGCTCTTGGGGTTGTCAAGGTGCGGGCTTAGGGTTAAGGGGTTTAGGTTGAGGGTTGGGGCCGGAGAATGCGCCCTCACGTCAAACGCATCGGCCGCAGTACTGATTCAAGAAAAGGTTGAGGATTGGGGTTCAGACGGGGTTTGGATTCAGAGTTTAGGGTGGGGTTTCATGTTGAGGGTTTGGGCTCATGGGTTTAGGATGGTTTAGTTCGGGTTTAGGGCTTTGGGGTTGGTTTTTGTTTTACTTTTTTCGTGGTCGAAGCCTTCTGTGCTGGACACTATTCATTTTACCTCAAGCGCGAGAGCTGAAGTTTGGAAGCCAAGGACATGTCGGACGCCTATCTCGCCGGAAGACCGAAAACCCTTGCGGGAGTGTCGCCCGGCTTGCAGGTGTGCACAGATTAGGGTTGTTGGGGGGGTTCAATATGTTGTGGAAGTTAGGCCTCGCGGCCCCTATGACTAGGGTTCTGATCTTACCGGCTAGACTTTGATCAGGTATAGGAAAGTTCTTAATTAGGCATGAATCATTCCGAGCCTTTGGCGAGACAAGACGATCGTTGTGGTGGTGATATCAACATGATGCTACTGGCAGTTAATAACTACCGCAGTAACTACGATTCTTACTGTGGCTGCTCATGGCCAAAAGTGAAAATCGAAGCGAATCTTGAGGGAATCGTCACTTCTTATGAGGCTCGTTCTTCGAGATAAGTTGATGGCAAGAGACTCCAAAACGGTATTGCCGCTGCCGCTACCGACTGCCCGCTGCCGCCGCCGCTGCTGCTGCCGCTGCTGCTGCCGCTGCTGCTGCTGCTGCTGCCGCTGCTGCTGCCGCTGGCTTTTGCTCTTGTTATTATGGCTTTGGCTTTTGTTAAACTGTTAGACTTTTCGCGCCTAGTTTATTGCTATCACCAACAGCTATCACGATACGTTTAATGACGACATGTGTTAAGTAGTAAAAACAGAAAATAATCATCATTGCAGTGAGGGTGCGAACACTCTTCATAACCGCAAAGATGCCAGCAATCATACTCGTTCCTGATAGCAGGGCATGGGTTCGTCCAGGGGACGCTTGTCTTGCCCCAGCTTTCAGCGCAGCCCATAGGGTGATCCACTCTGTGCCCATCTGCTTGCCATCTAAGAGGTATGAAGACACGTTGGTGGAAAGCGTACTAACATTGCAACCAAGGCGGATTTTGAATGTCCCATCCCAAGCAGCGCAGGTAGTTCACTGGCAACATTAGACACGAAGCCTGACGCTGCTCTTTGAGAGCATGTCCTACCCGACTTACGATAAAAGGAGATGTCTAGCAGAGGGCCGAGATGGCAAGGTAAGGCTGAAACTAACGGCCCTTTCTTAAGCCACAGCTGTAGAACCTCAAAGCATCCTGCCTTTGGCTTGTTTGCGGCGTCTTAAGCTATGCCTGAGCATTAGGCCCGAGATCCTGAACCCTCAATTTAAGTAAGCGACCCTTCCCGCCGAAATTGAGCACCTCCTGTGTTAGACTCATGCAAGCCATGGCTGGAATCCGTCACAACATCCCTAGCTGGCAGTGCTTAATTCTTACTGAGATGACTTCCCTGTGTTGTGTAGTAGAGAGTAGAAGCATCTGACTCCACGTCCTCCCTGACTCCAGCAGCTCTCGGCCTAGCCAGTGCTCCTGTCATCTGTAATGCCCGGCCACTGTCCTCATAAGTCTTCTTCCAGTCTATAGTAGTAGGTTAGCTAATGGAGGGTTTTTACATCGCCGTCCTCGCTGACGTGTAATGTCTTGTCTTGTGAAAGTAGACAACGGGATAGGAGCTATGATTCTGAGAATCACCCGATGTGGTTGTAGAGGGCATGCCCGAGGTAGTTTCCCCTTGCCTCCTTACTTGTTGCGACTTCGGTGCTTGTTCAACCCACCATTGGAGATTCATTCCAGGACTGGAAGAAGGTGAGGTCGCATAACCCGGGCATCAGCTTAGTAAGATGAACGCCCTTCACTCTAAACCCTTAGCCTCATGTGGTTGTAAGCCCCAGTAGGGAGAAAAACTGGGTCTGCAGTGCTTAAGCGGTTTTAGGGTAGGCTCCCGGCGTGAGCGAGTTAGCTTGAATTGAAAGACATGCCTCTCTACCCTTCTCCTGGCGCAAAACTTCGGAGCCTGGGCTACCCAGTAGCACGACCGGCATACACAACTGACACGGGTTGACCCCAAAACCCGAACGCGGGTTGCGTGGAAATGCGGGGCTTCGCAGCCCTGCAGGGACCGAACCCGGCACCCTGGGTGCTTTTCATGCTCGCGAACTGGGAGCACCGATCATACGTTCTGAAGTGAGTACTGGCTCCGACTTTTTCCCCAGGCGTGGATGGTGGGTCCGTCCCGGAGACCAAGCATTGTCCTGCAGCTGCTTGGGAACCTTTGCGTCTAGAGCTGAATCAGGTTAGCCCAGTGTGAGGGCCGCTCACTGGACGATGGAAATAATCCAGCTGTTGCCACCATTTGGATCTTGTGTCTTGCGAGCACATTCGGAAAGTGCTCATACGCTCAAGGGTATGATTGGCAACATTTTGAAGTAGTCGGCCGGGCTTGACTGGGTGGAAGTTGAGTTGGGTTGCCTAGTGGGGGAAGGGGAGCTACTGAGCACTCGATTGTATGCTTGGCAGCAGCTCGTCAGGCTGTAGCAGCTCGTCAGGCTGTGGCAGCCCCAAACCAGAACCCCCCCCCCAAGCTCGCTGCCCAGCCAGGGCGTATAGGCTCCACCAGGTAAACAGGGTCGGTAGTTGCCTAGGGCCTAGAGCAGTGTCAGGAAGCTTTGAGGCTTGCATATGGTTTTTGTGGTATCTACAGCTTGGGCACTTGGGTCTCCGATAGCAAACGTTTCAACTTCTGGTTCCTTATAAGTTAGTAGTAGTCTAAACGATGAGACTCATTTCTTTGGGTATTGCAGAAGTAAGGTGAAGGATTAAGCAAAAATCGTGTCCGTCTCGACCTGGGGTTTAGACTCATGTGGGCCCGATAAGGTGCCGCTGAATCAAGAAATTCTGGCGACGGGAGGACCTTTAGACCAGAGCTTTCAAATACTTATCATGCGGAGTCAGAAGCACCCTGAGCTCCAGGCAACCCCACTCAAAAGACCCTCGGGCATCCCATGGTTCGGTGCTACGTAGGAAGGGTTATCATCTTTGCCCCAGTCCCGAGCTAGGGCACTTGGCTGGTACAAATTTGCTTTCTGTGGAGCGGTGGTGGTGCCACCAAGGCAATCGCCCTCTTCTGAGGATGATGCACGATCTCAAGGCGTCGCGGGTTTTGCGGTTCCGCGCATCAACGCTGGAAATTCGGGCATTTAAGGCTACCATTGCGGATGGAGCACGACCGATGCAGAACAATCCTGGTTGTCCGAAACCGTGCAATCTACGAGCTGGACGGAAAACCAGTAAGCTTCGTAGACTTGTATACCCCTGGCAAAATTCTGCTTCGGGAGAAGGCTCAACCCTAGAAATCCTGAGCCCTACAACAATCCCCCGAAACCGAGACATGAGCTCCGGGAGAAGGGAAAACTCCTCTGATCCAAAGCCTTAGACCTCACGGTTTAGGGTTGAGACGTTGGGGGTTAGGGCTTTCGTTCGAGAAGAGAAGGCCCTGCAGTTGAGGAGTATTCGCTGGTACATGATCCAAGCCCATGCAGAAAAGGGTTCAGGTTATATCAGAAAGTAACAAATCTCAGAACCCGGACCAACAGGTCTGGTGCCCTTACCACAAGCACAGCAAGGCCTTGTTTCAAGGGGATTAGTGGGTGTCTGTACAGAGAGTGGGGCTTCGGGCTCAGGTTTACCCTAAACCCTAATTGGGGTAAGAGTCCCTAGCTCAGGTTTTAGAACAAGTCTGCTGGCTGATCAGAGTTGGTCTGTTGTGTGTCGCTTGCAGTTTTTCCAGCTTTCGCGTCCTTCATATCGAACACATGTAGAGCCCTCATACAAGCCGGTAAAGGGACCTTGCTCCGGCGGTCAAGGCCCGCCATGTGTAAGCTCTTCGGCTTTGAAGGGTTGCAGGGCTAGAGCGGGACGTCGTGGCTCTAGATCTGAGTTCATTCACCGCCGCACGCCTTGAGTTCTAGGGTTTAGGGTTTCAGTTTAGGGTTGGATAGGCCTGGATGCAAAAGTTTGGGGTTGGATAGAGCTCCGGGTCCAAAGGTTTAGGAAAAAAGTCTGGCAGTGTTGCTTCCCCGCTGATCGGCACGGTCTGGGTTCAGAAGGTTTAAGGCCTTCGGGGTTGAGGCATCTTGAAGGCCGCCCCCCACGTGTTCCGGTCCAGAGGAGCCCAAGCCCCGAGTTGAAGCCCCGAAACTTCCGAAGCCCAAGCACCTGAATCTAGAGCGGACGGAGTCTGCAGGTGGGTGAGAAATCTAGGGAGCCAGGAAGAGATCCGGAAGGCTACACTCGAAACCTGGTCCGGGGAAAAGCAGTTCTGGGCTGCCCATGGGATGGGATGCTTCAAAAGGGATGCTAATGCAAAAGATGAGGGTGATGGAGATTCACAGTGATGATTCCGTATGCTTGAACTTCTTCGCTAGCAACATGACTCCAACCAATTCCGCATTCTGTGCGATAGCAGGTGCCTTATGCGGGCCCCCGAGGCCCTTCATGCATCGAAGGCCGGAGGGTCAACAATCACGTGGTTAAGGGCATTGCAGTACTATACTATTATAGTATTATGGGATTACAGTATTATACCACTATAGTACTATGGTATTATAGGGTCTGTTAGGGGTTGGGCTTCGGCAACAGGGACTTGGATTCTGCGGGTGTGGGGTTTGGTAAGCTCAGTCCTGGGTTCTTGACCACTCCTGAACTGATTGCCTCAGTGGCTGTTTTCTTTTTGAGGAGGCGCCTGCCCTGAGGTCTCCGTGCGGAATCGTTTAAGGCATCCAACGGCTTCGTAGTTTCATGTAAAAGTCCTGGTTAACAGGCACCGTGCGGGTGGGAAAAAAATAGGCACCGTTTCTTCAAGAGCCTGTGTGTTAGGATCTCCGTCATAAACCCTCTCATGAAGGGACGGGGTTTTGAAGCCAGGGATCTAATTTTTTTCTTTCTCGTCTGAATCAGGGAACCAGATTTTGTAGCTCATCTTGGGGGGTTATGCAGGGAGACGGCGAGCCGAGGTATCTGATGTCCCATTTTGCCTTACGGAGCACCGGTAAGCATTTGTGGGCTTGAAGGCTCTGAGGGCTTCCAGTTTGCGCAAAACTCGGCTTAACCCGCAACCCCGCAGACCGCAACCGCTCACAACCATGAAACACCGGAGACCGGCAGGGGCCAACGAGTCTACCAGCACCCTGGTCGGACAGTCGGCCAGCGGCGAGAGCAGTGGCCTGGCTCACCCGTAAAGGGAACTCCAGAAAGTTGGAATATGGATTAATGGTAGGATCCCCTATAATTTACCTTAAAGGGGTTACGATTATCATATACCAACTTTCTGGCTTCTACTGTAAATCTCTGACAAGACGAGGTCTACTGCAATAATATTCGGAAGGTCGGCCCGATTCATAGCATTGTTGTTTCTGTTGTTGTTCGTGTTGCTTTTGGGGCAGGTAAGAGCATTATGATGTGGATGATGATGGTGATGATGATATGGATGATTACAAGTAGTACTTGGCATTGGCGGCCTATGAGTAAGAGGTCTTTTGCTTTGCCCACGGTGTGGCGATGATGTGGAAAAAACTGGCACAGTGCTGCCTTGTCTACAGTACAACCCTACAGTGTAACACGTGTTTGGAGTATTGAAGAATCCCTAGTGCTGGGCCGGTTCCTGCAGATTTCAGCAGTGTGGGTCCTTGCTTGGCATCTATGTGTGCAAAGACTGCCACTGGCTCCGAAGCTTGACCGCCTTACAACATGCAAGGCTCCCTAAAACCCTCCAGGGTTCGAGGTGGAGTATGCCTCGACTGGGCGATGTTTCGTGTAGCGGTGTAGCGTGGCAGGTGCGAGCCTCCCTGAGTGACTCCCGGCTGCACTGTCGCCGCGGCAGTTCCTTTTGAACTCGTGACATCTGCTGCTGCCTGTATGTCCAGAGATGCCTTCCAAAGGTTATCTGTTCGTGTGCAGTTATCACCCCCACCTCGGCATCAAGTCAAGTCATTCTCTGGGGGCGCCATGCATTCTGTGGAGGTGCTGCGGTGAAACGCCCCCGTTTGGAGGACGGCGAGGAGCTGCTGCAAAGCTGCAGGGCGGGTTGCGTTCAGTTCTTCTGCCCCCAGCTTGAGTTGAAAGCTGCCATAGTTTCTATACACGGCCGGCAACCACAGTATCAGACGACTTGCAGTACCAGTCCCTTCACTTGGCACATTGTTGCCCCCGGTTTCACTGCAACATGGTTCGGTTTGCTCCGTGCTACTCGTCCTTGCCGCGCCGATCTGTGGTTTTCATGTTTTTGTTGGACTCCAAACTTAGATGCAAAAAGGCTGGAAGTTTGTCAATTGTCTTCGTGCTCTGAACCTGCAGGCGTCCGGCAACATCTTTGAGGAGCGGTGCAGCTGGGAAGGGAGCTTCACGGCGCCTGGGATGTTTTTTGGGTGGTGCACCTTATGTCCTGCAGTTTAGTTCCTTCAGGTTTGGGGAGAAGCGGGTCGAAACAGGCTGCTGTGTGCAGTGCTTGTGGCGCAGGGGTGCGCCATGAATCCAGAGAGGATTCCTAGCAACCCCTGAACAACCCCTCAACCAGAAACATAAGAACCTGGACGGTCATGCCCTAAAACCTTAAACACTGAACTCCGGAATTTTGCTGCATAGTCCGAGTTGCGAGTGTCCAAAAACCCAAGCTTTAAAAGACGTCGCTAAACCCTTACTTCTAAAATCCAAGCCCACCATCTCCGCTTGGCCTCTCTCACACGTGCGGCCCTCCCCTGAAGAGCTGATGCTCCATCTTAGCTTCGAGGTCGGATCTCTAAACCCTGAATGAATGCCGTGTGTAGGGTTCAGGGAAGTTTTATAACCCTTTCACTGAAGCCTTGAATTTGTTAAATCCAAAACGGCAGTTTTTCCCAAACCCTGAAACCCAGGATCTGTTGGCGTCACATCTCGCAACTTCGGCTGCAAGGAAGCTTTAGTTTAGGAGTTTCGGCCCGAATGGGTTTGGGGTTTAGGATGGCGTGACGTTGCAAGCCAGTTGCAAAAGGATTCAAGGTTTATGAGAGGTTTGTAGGGTTTTAACAGTTTAGGGGTTTGAGGGTTAAAAGGGTCATCGCCTGAGACCTGGATGCACAAACAGTCAAGGGATTCAGAGTTTAGTGTTTAGGGTCTTACATCCTGAGCCAAAAACGGCTTCTTGTCCTCGCAGTGGGGCTTCTGGCGACTATGCCGTTCCAGCGTTTCGGAGGCGAAGGTCCGCATGGATGGGGGTTGAGCCAGCAACTCAGAGGTATGTTGTTCCTTCGGTGTCTTCGCCTTCTGCACATTGCAAAACAGAATCAGAACACAGCGATAGAAGCAGAAGAGCACTTGACCTCAGGCGGAGTGCCCCTTGCATCTGGTGCCGTGCCCGCAGGTGCAATGTGACGTTAGGGCTTCGGGTTTAGGATCTGCGCCCTGAACAACAAAGCTTCTGTCGGTCGGTACCTTTTGGAAGCCAGTATCGAAGTTGCTGCTTTCCTGAGCAGAAGTATTGCAGCTATGTGCCACACAATCAGTGCTTAGTAAAGTAGTAGCAAGTCTGAGACAGACGCAGCGACAAAACCAATCACTGCATGATCGCCTCATCGTCGTCGTCATCATCACCAGCAGCGTCATCATCGCAAATATCTTATATATAATCTTCGTCTCAATGTTCGTCAGCAGCAGCAGGCGTAGCTGCCGCAGCCTTACTATCATCTTCAGCAGTGGCAGCAGATGCATCATCCTAACTTGCGGCTGAACGATGCCTGGAGCTTTTCATGTCACTGGTCGAGGCCCAGGATTGAGGGCCTTGTCCTACACCCATGGGCCCACAGCCCTAACTCTTCTAGCTCCAAAACCGACCGACCTTGTTTGCTGGGTGTCCGACAGGGCTGCGGTGCGATTTGCCGCCGAAGGGACTTGGCGGATGCTCGGCAGCTTCTCCGTTGACTTGTGAAAGTAGGGATCTCTATGTGCTGCTGCTCGGTCGTCTTTCGAGGCTTACATGAACACGATCGCTCTGAATTCAGGTTCCGTAATGCCAGTTTTTTTCACAGCCAACCGCGTGTCAGAACAACTGCGATAAGGGTGGACGCCTTAGCCACCGAACCCCCTATTTTTGTTAGCCAAGGCTCACGCTCCGAGCTGCCCAAAGAATTTCGAGGCAGGGCGGCGGAAGCGACCCAGAAGAAAGAGCCATGCCTGTCAATGCCCCCTTCATGAAGAACTCTACTGCCAATTGGTTTATGGCTTTAGAATCATGAATAGAGGAAACCTTCATGACAGGTCGTGCGTTAGGTAGATACAACATAAGAGCCGCAGAGTACGAAGGGAGTTTTTACTGAGTGAGTCTTAGTAGGCAATTCAGTAAGAATGGCTCAGCCTAGAGTGCCTGCAGCACAGCTAGTATTCGAACGGTAAGCATGTTAAGTCTGTGGACGACGATGGAGATGGTGATAGCCGCAATAGCCTGGTGTTTGCCATTGGCTTTCAGAGTTCCAAGTGCCAATTACTAGCCATGGTTGTGTCCATAAAAGAGTGTGAGTCAGGGTTTGTACAGCCCAAGTGCAGGCAATTCATCAGCCCATAGCTCTTGATCAAAGTTGAACCGGCATAGTGCTGGTGGTTCACGACGGGTCTCCCAGACCAATGCGTTGCCACTGTTGCTTACACCTACTACCCCGAACCGTCCTGTCGGTGACTTTTTGGAAGTTCGGACCCCTCCTCGGCTAAGCGCAGGCCTGAACGAGGTTCCGGGTCACAGAATCCACGTACCTGAGTCGCAACCAACGACAACCAATGGAAGGAGTGTCCAATCTGCAAAGCGGAAGTGCGATTCGGAAGCTCCCCGGTGGCAGGTGTTCTCTAACTTTGTGGCGGGTGCTCCGGAGAGTTTGGGATACTTCAGACATTCCTGACTCATACTTCGTCAAGCCGCCGATAGACTTTGCATGTCCGACTGGCCGGTTAAGGTTTCCTGCCAGCTGATCAGTCCACATGTTTGCCTGCAGAAACCATGAGCACTTTCGTTCCGGCAAAGAGTCCCCAGACTCTCCAAGGCATGCTGGCCCACCGGAAAGAGAAAGCCGAAGCTGTACCAGCATGTATTTTTCCCTTCTGTGTAGGATTTGTCTCGAGTGGGGTGAAGATGTTGTTGTTCGACCTTGATGGGCGGTTTGGGCCCTGAAAAATAAAACTGCCGCGCTAGATCATGTGGTTATTCAGCATGGCATGAGGCATTTTCCACGGCAGTCGATGCGCGTTTACTGTTTGGCTTGGTAGTTGGTCTGCCACAGTGCAGCAGAATGTCGTGGAGCAGGAGAGGCCGGCATGACGCGAGCTGCTGTGACGTGACATGCGGTGGTCTGACTCAAGAGTGCTAGGGCAGGGTATAGTCGGCTATAAGTTCACAAAAGGGGGTTTCCGAAAATAGGGGACCCTAATATCGTACCCTAAATAGTAGGATCCTGATTATACAGGACCCCTAAAATGAGGTACCCCCTCTTTTTCGGAAACCCCGGAAACCCCCACAGAAACCAGAGCCAGGGCCCGACTTCCTGTGGAGAATTTCCTGCCGAAGCCCAGGAGCTCCACGTGCAGCTTCTTGAAGCAAAGATGCTGGAGCCGCTCAGATCAACTTGGGACCGCGGCGCTGTGTAGAGTTCATTGTTCATTGTCTCCATGCCTGTGCCACGAGCGTAGGATCGAGAAAGCGTCGTTGAGTGAGGCGACGAAACTGCTTCGTGGCTACAGCTCAAGAGAATAGCTCAGAGATCCCGGGTGCTTCTACTGTTCCTGCAAACATGGCTCAGTCTGCCGTTGGTGCAACGCTGGGAGCCGCCGCTCTGTTGGGCGGCTGTGCCTTCCTGGCACCCTCGACTCCACATGCGGTATCCTCGCCCGCGCAGCTTCGAGGCGCCACTCAGGGTGCCTCTTGCAGTGCCGGGGCAGCCGCGCCGCTGGCAGGAGCTGCTCTGCTTGCCACGGCTGCCGCACTGGCCAGACCTACCGAGTCGGCAACGACCCGCAGGGCAGCGGCTGTGAAGAAGAAGGGCGTGAAGGTCGTCCATGGCAAGGAGATCCCATGGAACCTCTTCACACCCAAGGCCCCATACGCAGGCAAGGTCATCGAAAACGACGTGCACCCGCAGACCTTGACTGAGGACACTGGGGATGCCAACTGGGAGACTTGCCATGTGACCTTCGACCACGGTGGCAAGGTGCCCTACATCGAGGGACAGTCCATCGGAATCATCGCACCAGGTCCTGACAAGAAGGGCGAGACCCCGGCCCGGATCCGCTTGTACTCCATTGCCTCCTCGGCAGTCGGGGACAATCAGAACTCCAAGACCGTTTCTCTCTGTGTGAAGCGCGTGGTCGAGCTCGACGGGAAGTTTGCCAATCGCGAGAAGGGTGAGGACAAGCCCGACAAGGCTGGCACGGGCTTTCCCGACAACAAGGTCTACCGAGGAGTTTGCTCGAACCACATTTGCGACATGTCACCTGGTGACGACGTCATGATCACGGGCCCCACTGGAGCCGAGATGCTTCTGCCAGAGGACCCCGAGGCGAACATCATCATGTTGGCGACAGGCACTGGCATCGCCCCGATGCGATCCTACTGCCGACTGCTCTTCCACGACGATGCCGGGGCCAGCGGCGATGGCAGAAAGTTCAAGGGTTTGGCTTGGCTTTTCATGGGCGTTCCCTACTCCAAGTCTCTCCTTTACGATGACGAGCACCAGGAGTACAAGAAGAGCTACCCCGACCAGTTCAAGTACGACTACGCCGTCAGCCGTGAGGAGAAGAATGCAGCTGGCCAGAAGATGTACATCCAGACTAAGATGGCAGAGTACGCTGATGAGCTCTGGGATCTCATGCAGGACGAGAAGACCCACGTCTACATGTGCGGCCTGAAAGGCCTGGAGTTCGGAATGTCGGTTTAAGTGTTGGAGTTAGTAGAAGTCAAGGCTAGAAGTAACAATATAGTAACAATAGTCATAACCATGACCACAATAAATAGTAATAATAGTATAACAATAAAAAATACTAACAATAATAAATAATGGCCACGAGAGGCATGGAGTCTGGCATGGCCGAGTGCTTCGGCCCAATCGCAGAGAAAGCCGGCAAGGATTGGGCGGAGTTCGCCAAGGCCATGAAGAAGGCCGACCGCTACCACGTCGAGGTCTACTGAGGTCTATGAGCGATTTAGAGCCATCCAGGCTTTGAGGTAGGCCACTAGGTCCGCCCGATTTTCCGATACACGTCCACAGAGGGCAGGCTTCGCAAACAAGCGCGCTGGTCATTCTTGTCCGGTCGAGCCGTATCCTGCTGAGTCCGCCAGACTGCGAATCGAACACGCCTTGCAAGCCGCAAACCTGGAACATCCTGGAACCCAGAACCCAAGCCAACACCCAAAACCCCAGGAAGGGCCCGGACGGCTTCGAGGATGCGTTGAACGAAATTCGCCCCAGCCTCAGTCTTCAGATTGCAAGGCCGTGGGGCCGTAGGGGCTGAAGATCTTGAGGCCTGGAGGCTTGAAGTTTGGGGCTCAGGTTTTGCGAGGTTCAGGATTTGTGGGCTTGAGGCAGAAGAGCATGCGATGTTGACTTTTGACGGTTCAGGGCTGAGGGATTAGTGTTTAATCTTCACGAGAAGGGACGATCGGGCCAAACTCGGGCCGTGGGTTGGCAAACGATACAAACTTCAGCGAGAGAGTTTATGCAGGTGGGACTGCCGCTTTCTTGATTGAACGAAGCTCAAGTGCCCTAAGCTGTTGACCGTAGACGCGCCTGCTTTCCGAATCGCCGACTAGGCTTGTCCCCAGCTTGCGATTCCCAAGCCTCGAAGAGCCAACAGTGCCACACCTTGAGCTCAGGCATGGACCCCATGCCCTGACCTCTCGTTTGTGGCTTGTTGTGAGACTTCAGGCAACAAGCTTACCGACATCCAGTCAGACAGCCAGCGCACTGCAAAGTTGGATCGACTGCAGCCACTTTCCACAACATTTCATGATGAGCATTCGCTTTTTGTTACTGGATTTGTTGGGGCGGGAAGGCATTGATGCGGGTGTAGAATCAGAACTTGTCTGGCACAGGATCTGGATACGATGTGAGCCGCGTGTGGAGCAATGGGATACACGTTTTGGCGGCTTCACCATCAAGCAATTATTGACCCTAATTTGCTTAATTATTCGGGAGTACAAGGCTTATGCATGTGAGAACTACCGTTACAAGAGCACATGGGCATACAATATAGTATGTAAACTTCTTCCTGTCCTGGGTCGCTCGTAGCCATGTCCACAGTGTAGCACAATGTAGTTCAGCATGGTGAACTCACTTTAGGATCGTCGTTGCATGCAGACGTAGCCGTCATGCCACGTAGAAATGTGGCACTTGGTGCCAAATAGTCCATCCGTATAGTCTGCAATCGCACCAGGCTATAGCTATGGCAGGACAGTGGCACGCTATAGTCTAATACCTTCATGAGAGAATACAAACAAGTCAAGACAGAAACAAGTATGGATAAGGATGGGACCACGACGACGACCACGATGATGATGATGATGATGATGATGATGATGATGTGATGATGGTGTGATGATGTGATGATGGTTCAATGATCGTCGTCACCGGTGGTGTGGCGGTGATCATGATGATTATGGCCATGATGGTTGTGATGGTGATGCGGTCGGCTTTGCAATCACGACGGTAGGATGCCTTGTCCTTCCGAACGATTCAGGGCTGAAGTGAAGCGCCACATGTCGCTGCAAGCGGAAGTCCTGACGAAGAGCATGCGCCTCGGGTTTTAAGGTGGTTCGGGTCTTGGCGTAGAAGTCGTTGCTTTTTTTGGTTTAGGGTTAAAATTTCAGGATGTGAAGTTTCGGGCTTAAGGGGCAGACCGGAGATGCGCGGGTCAATGCTGGCTGGTGGCCGTAGCTCTGCACGGCACCATTCTCACAGCCCCTAAAGCTAAACTGTGTCTGACGTGTCTGAGAGAGAGTGCCGAAGTGGCCCAAACCTAAACTTCTAGCAGTCAAGATGCTTCATTTGTTGAGGCTGGAGAGGCCGGTGCGAATCGATTCTATAATAGTTAAAAAAATTCAGTAAGTACACTTTGTAACACCCAGCACTTTGACCCCGACACGCCCTGACCCTGTAACACAAGGATATCTTCTTCTGACATACTCCGTCCCGGATATCTTGTCGGCGATCAGGCTTGCACTGTGCCCATTCCCTATCTGTGTTCAGGAAAGACATCCTCAAGCAGAGCACGACGCAAATTTGGGACACTTTGGCTTCAAAGGACGCACATTAAGGCCCTTGGATGTTCAAGGTTTGGACATGGATGTGGAACATAAACGTACGGAACCAGCTGCAACCCTGTATATGGGAGTTTCCGAAAATGGGGGACCCTAATATGGTACCCTAAATAGTAGGATCCTTCTAAAGTACAATGTTGCTTGGAGTGGACGCATGTGTACCCGGATCCTCGCCTGCTTGTCTAGTTGTGAGTGCTGAAATAGTAGGATCCTTATTATTATAAGGACCCCAAAATAAGGTTCCCCTAATTTTCGGAAACCCACACATAATTTTCGGAAACCCACATATAATCTGCCAAGGTCCTTCCCTCTCGCAAGAAATACATCCACATGTACGTGTGCATGCGTACGAGAGAGGGAGGGCGGAGAGCCCTAGAGAAGTTCGAAGGCATCAGTTGGTCCTCGGATTTCAGAAGGCTTGGCCGACCTACTGCATATCACCTTCAACAATCTGAGGAGATCGATGGGATCCCCAACCTGCTGCAAAAGTATCCACGCGCCCGGTCGCTGGAATCTGAGAAGACACGAGCCTGCAAGGAGGATGTCTGTCAAAAGCTGAGCGATCCTGCCGCAGCTCTTGCTGGGCAATCAGTTCTGTATGCCTGACAGGAAGGCACAAGCTTAGCAGCGTCTCCCGCAACTTTTGGGTGAACTCCTATGGTTGGAAGCTTGTGTAGGCGGGTTGGCTGGGCACTCAGACCCAGGTTCTGCTTGGGAGCCAACGGCCCCTTCTTCATCCAGCGCCTATGGCCGAAGAGGATCAACCAATCGGGCCTGGGTCGGAAGGTTCGGGGCTCTTGGGGGTGAGCTTTGGGGTCTTGGAGTTTTGCAGAAGTATCCCCATCGACGGCGAGGGTCTTCCGAGAATTTTAGGTGCTCAGAGGTCTGTGGTCCTAGGCTCTGTCCTCGTTGTGGCTCACGGGGATGTGCTGCATGTGTAGGGCCGCAGCCCAACATCAGGAGACACCGTCTCTAAAGCTGTTGACTCCCTGTGTTTCTGTGTCCTGCAACTCGGAGAGGCAAGAGCATCCGAACCGGGAACCTCGAAGCTCCAAGCGTACGTCCACCCACAGCCCCAAGCTTTTCAAGCTGGCCTGAAGTTCAGGTTCTATCCGAACGGGGATGCCCAGTCACAAACAGGCGTGGGGGACTTCGGGCTTTCGCGTTCTCTTTAAGGAATTACAGAGCTTGGGGCGTGCGCAGCTGCGGGCTTGAAGTCTAGGCTCGGAGACGGTTGTACGTTTAAGGTTTACTATGAGGGGGTTTGGTTTCAGAGTTGTCCTAGTACTATAGGTAACCGAAGCGAGACCCCTTAAAGGGGACCCTTCTTAACCCTACTTCTGGCTCTCTTCAAAGGGACCTTGTTGAGAGGGTTTATATCCCCAAGGGTTCCCTAATCCTAACGCCTAGGTTTGAGGAGTTAGTCAGTCAGTGCATCGGGGTCTTGGTCTTTCAAAAGCTACAAGCTGGGGGACTTGCCCAAGCTGTCATCAGAAACGTCCCGCAGCGAGTGAGCCCGGCTCCGTTCAGGTCTTGCCTATCCCCCCACTTTAAAGCACAGCTACTCCGGGATGCGAAAGGTCGCGGGCTTCTAGGAGTTTCAATGAAAGCTTGAGGTTCTTGGACAGAGGAGAAGCGAATCCAGCAAGAGCAATCTGTAAGACAGAGACAGACAAGAGACATCTGAATTCCCACCCGTTGCGAGAGGATCCTCGAACACCCATCGGCTCAAACCATAAACCCCAACGCCATAGAATGTAAACACTCCAACTCCCGAGAATCACGCAAAAGCTGGAAAGGCAAGTGCGGCCTCTTCCTGTGGGGCCCTGACTCCGTCTATGTGAAAGCACGCTGGGCTCTGTGACCTGGCAGACTTCGCTTGAGGGTGGGTAGGCAGGGCTTTGAGGCGGTGCGGGCAGGCTGCCCGCAGCAGCCAGTGCACTCAAGATTCCCAATTGGAAGGCTTCAAAGCAGTGCGGGCAGGCTGCCTGCAGCAGCCAATGCACCCAAGATTATCAATTGGAAGGCTTCAAGGCGGTGCGGGCAGGCTGCCCGCAGCAGCCAATGCACCCAAGATTACCAATTGGAAGGCCTCAAGGCGGTGCGGGCAGGCTGCCTGCAGCAGTCCAAGATTCCCAATTGGAAGGCTTCACGGCGGTGCGGGCAGGCTGCCCGCAGCAGCCAATGCACCCAAGATTACCAATTGGAAGGCCTCAAGGCGGTGCGGGCAGGCTGCCTGCAGCAGTCAATGCACCCAAGATTCCCAATTGGAAGGCTTCACGGCGGTGCGGGAAGGCTGCCCGCAGCAGCCAATGCACCCAGATTACCATTGGAAGGCTTCAAGGCGGTGCGGGCAGGCTGCCCGCAGCAGCCAACGCACCCAAGATTATCAATTGGAAGGCTTCAAGGCGGTGCGGGCAGGCTGCCCGCAGCAGCCAATGCACCCAAGATTACCAATTGGAAGGCCTCAAGGCGGTGCGGGCAGGCTGCCTGCAGCAGTCCAAGATTCCCAATTGGAAGGCTTCACGGCGGTGCGGGCAGGCTGCCCGCAGCAGCCCATGCACCCAAGATTACCAATTGGAAGGCCTCAAGGCGGTGCGGGCAGGCTGCCTGCAGCAGTCAATGCACCCAAGATTCCCAATTGGAAGGCTTCACGGCGGTGCGGGCAGGCTGCCCGCAGCAGCCAATGCACCCAGATTACCATTGGAAGGCTTCAAGGCGGTGCGGGCAGGCTGCCCGCAGCAGCCAACGCACCCAAGATTCCCAATTGGAAGGCTTCAAGGCGGGGCGGGCAGGCTGCCCGCAGCAGCCAATGCACCCAAGATTACCAATTGAAAAGCTTCAAGGCGGTGCGGGCGGGCTACCCGCAGCAGCCAATGCACCCAAGCCCAATTGGAAGGCTTCACGGCGGTGCGGGGCGCTGCGGGTAGGCTGCCGGCAGCAGCCAATGCACCCAAGATTACCAATTGGAACGCTTCGGCTGCCCGCAGCAGCCAACGCACCCAAGATTCCCAATTGGAAGGCTTCAAGGCGGTGCGTGCAGGGTGCCCGCAGCAGCCAACGGACCCAAAATTCCTAATTGGAAGGCTTCAAGGTGGTGCGGGCAGGCTGCCCGCAGCAGCCAACGCACCCAAGATTCGCGATTGCTTCAAGGGAGTGCGGGCACGCAGCAGCCAACGCACCCAAGATTCCCAAATGGAAGGCTTCAAGGCTGTGTGGGAGGCCGGCAGCAGCCAACGCACCCAAGATTCCCAATTGGAAGGTTTCAAGGCGGCGGGCAGGCTGCCCGCAGCAGCCCCAAGATTCCCAATTGGAAGGGTTCCAGGCGGTGCGGGCAGGTTGCCCGCAGCAGCCAATGCACCCAAGATTCCCAATTGGAAGGCTTCAAGGCGGTGCGGGCAGGCTGCCCGCAGCAGCCCGTGCACCCAAGATTAACAATTGGAAGGCTTCAAGGCGGTGCGGGCGGCTGCCCGCAGCAGCCAAGGCACCCAAGATTTCCAATTGGAAGGCTTCAAGGCGGTGCGGGCAGGCTCCGCAGCAGGCAAGGCACCCAAGATTCCCAATTGGAAGGCTTCAAGGCGGGGCGGGCAGGCTGCCCGCAGCAGCCAATGCACCCAAGATTATACCAATTGAAAAGTTTCAAGGCGGTGCGGGCGGGCTACCCGCAGCAGCCAATGCACCCAAGATTCCCAATTGGAAGGCTTCACGGCGGTGCGGGGCGCTGCGGGCAGGCTGCCGGCAGCAGCCAATGCACCCAAGATTACCAATTGGAATGCTTCGGCTGCCCGCAGCAGCCAACGCGCACCCAAGATTCCCAATTGGAAGGCTTCAAGGCGGGGCGTGCAGGGTGCCCGCAGCAGCCAACGGGCCCAAAATTCCTAATTGGAAGGCTTCAAGGCGGTGCGGGCGGGCTGCCCGCAGCAGCCAACGCACCCAAGATTCGCGATCTTCAAGGGAGTGCGGGCAGGTTGCCCGCAGCAGCCAACGCACCCAAGATTCACAAATGGAAGGCTGCAGCAGCCAACGCACCCAAGATTACCAATTGGAAGGCTTCAAGGCGGTGCGGGCAGGCTGCCCGCAGCAGCCCCAAGATTCCCAATTGGAAGGCTTCCAGGCGGTGCGGGCAGGTTGCCCGCAGCAGCCAATGCACCCAAGATTCCCAATTTGAAGCCCGCAGCAGCCCATGCACCCAAGATTACCAATTGGAAGGCTTCAAGGCAGTGCGGGCGGGCTGCCTGCAACAGCCAATGCACCCAAGATTTTCAATTGGAAGGCTTCAAGGCGGTGCGGGCAGGCTGCCCGCAAGATTCTCAATTGGAAGGCTTCAAGGCTGTGCGGGCAGGTTGCCCGCAGCAACCAATGCACCCAAGATTTCCAATTGGAAGGCTTCAAGGCGGTGCGGGCAGGCTGCCGGCAGCAGCCAATGCACCCAAGCTTCCCAATTGGAAGGCTTCAAGGCGGTGCGGGCAGGCTGCTCGCAGCAGCCAATGCACCCAAGATTCCCAATTGGAAAGCTTCACGGCGGCGCGGGCAGGTTGCCCGCAGCAACCAATGCACCCAAGATTACCAATTGGAAGGCTTCAAGACGGTGCGGGCAGGCTGCGCGCAGCAGCCAACGCACCCAAGATTTTCAATTGGAAGGCTTCAAGGCGGTGCGGGCAGGCTGCCCGCAGCAGCCAATGCACCCAAGATTCTCAATTGGAAGGCTTCAAGGCGGCGCGGGCAGGCTGCCCGCAGCAACCAACGCGCCCAAGATTCCCAATTGGAAGGCTTCAAGGCGGTGCGGGTAGGCTGCCCGCTGCAGCCAATGCACCCAAGATTACCAATTGGATCGAAGGCTTCAAGGCGGCGCGGGCAGGCTGCCCGCAGCAACCAATGCGCCCAAGATTCCCAATTGGAAGGCTGCCCGCTGCAGCCAATGCACCCAAAATTACCAATTGGAAGGCTTCAAGGCGGTGCGGGCAGGCTGCCCGCAGCAGCCAACGCACCCAAGATTCCCAATTGGAAGGCTTCAAGGCGGGGCGGGCAGGCTGCCCGCAGCAGCCAATGCACCCAAGATTACCAATTGAAAAGCTTCAAGGCGGTGCGGGCGGGCTACCCGCAGCAGCCAATGCACCCAAGCCCAATTGGAAGGCTTCACGGCGGTGCGGGGCGCTGCGGGTAGGCTGCCGGCAGCAGCCAATGCACCCAAGATTACCAATTGGAACGCTTCGGCTGCCCGCAGCAGCCAACGCACCCAAGATTCCCAATTGGAAGGCTTCAAGGCGGTGCGTGCAGGGTGCCCGCAGCAGCCAACGGACCCAAAATTCCTAATTGGAAGGCTTCAAGGTGGTGCGGGCAGGCTGCCCGCAGCAGCCAACGCACCCAAGATTCGCGATTGCTTCAAGGGAGTGCGGGCACGCAGCAGCCAACGCACCCAAGATTCCCAAATGGAAGGCTTCAAGGCTGTGTGGGAGGCCGGCAGCAGCCAACGCACCCAAGATTCCCAATTGGAAGGTTTCAAGGCGGCGGGCAGGCTGCCCGCAGCAGCCCCAAGATTCCCAATTGGAAGGGTTCCAGGCGGTGCGGGCAGGTTGCCCGCAGCAGCCAATGCACCCAAGATTCCCAATTGGAAGGCTTCAAGGCGGTGCGGGCAGGCTGCCCGCAGCAGCCCGTGCACCCAAGATTAACAATTGGAAGGCTTCAAGGCGGTGCGGGCGGCTGCCCGCAGCAGCCAAGGCACCCAAGATTTCCAATTGGAAGGCTTCAAGGCGGTGCGGGCAGGCTCCGCAGCAGGCAAGGCACCCAAGATTCCCAATTGGAAGGCTTCAAGGCGGGGCGGGCAGGCTGCCCGCAGCAGCCAATGCACCCAAGATTATACCAATTGAAAAGTTTCAAGGCGGTGCGGGCGGGCTACCCGCAGCAGCCAATGCACCCAAGATTCCCAATTGGAAGGCTTCACGGCGGTGCGGGGCGCTGCGGGCAGGCTGCCGGCAGCAGCCAATGCACCCAAGATTACCAATTGGAATGCTTCGGCTGCCCGCAGCAGCCAACGCGCACCCAAGATTCCCAATTGGAAGGCTTCAAGGCGGTGCGTGCAGGGTGCCCGCAGCAGCCAACGGACCCAAAATTCCTAATTGGAAGGCTTCAAGGCGGTGCGGGCGGGCTGCCCGCAGCAGGCAAGGCACCCAAGATTCCCAATTGGAAGGCTTCAAGGCGGGGCGGGCAGGCTGCCCGCAGCAGCCAATGCACCCAAGATTATACCAATTGAAAAGTTTCAAGGCGGTGCGGGCGGGCTACCCGCAGCAGCCAATGCACCCAAGATTCCCAATTGGAAGGCTTCACGGCGGTGCGGGGCGCTGCGGGCAGGCTGCCGGCAGCAGCCAATGCACCCAAGATTACCAATTGGAATGCTTCGGCTGCCCGCAGCAGCCAACGCGCACCCAAGATTCCCAATTGGAAGGCTTCAAGGCGGTGCGTGCAGGGTGCCCGCAGCAGCCAACGGACCCAAAATTCCTAATTGGAAGGCTTCAAGGCGGTGCGGGCGGGCTGCCCGCAGCAGCCAACGCACCCAAGATTCGCGATCTTCAAGGGAGTGCGGGCAGGTTGCCCGCAGCAGCCAACGCACCCAAGATTCACAAATGGAAGGCTGCAGCAGCCAACGCACCCAAGATTACCAATTGGAAGGCTTCAAGGCGGTGCGGGCAGGCTGCCCGCAGCAGCCCCAAGATTCCCAATTGGAAGGCTTCCAGGCGGTGCGGGCAGGTTGCCCGCAGCAGCCAATGCACCCAAGATTCCCAATTTGAAGCCCGCAGCAGCCCATGCACCCAAGATTACCAATTGGAAGGCTTCAAGGCAGTGCGGGCGGGCTGCCTGCAACAGCCAATGCACCCAAGATTTTCAATTGGAAGGCTTCAAGGCGGTGCGGGCAGGCTGCCCGCAAGATTCTCAATTGGAAGGCTTCAAGGCTGTGCGGGCAGGTTGCCCGCAGCAACCAATGCACCCAAGATTTCCAATTGGAAGGCTTCAAGGCGGTGCGGGCAGGCTGCCCGCAGCAGCCAATTGCACCCAACATTCCCAATTGGAAGGCTTCCAGGCGGTGCGGGCAGGCTGCCCGCAGCAGCCAATGCACCCAAGCTTCCCAATTGGAAGGCTTCAAGGCGGTGCGGGCAGGCTGCTCGCAGCAGCCAATGCACCCAAGATTCCCAATTGGAAAGCTTCACGGCGGCGCGGGCAGGTTGCCCGCAGCAACCAATGCACCCAAGATTACCAATTGGAAGGCTTCAAGACGGTGCGGGCAGGCTGCGCGCAGCAGCCAACGCACCCAAGATTTTCAATTGGAAGGCTTCAAGGCGGTGCGGGCAGGCTGCCCGCAGCAGCCAATGCACCCAAGATTCTCAATTGGAAGGCTTCAAGGCGGCGCGGGCAGGCTGCCCGCAGCAACCAACGCGCCCAAGATTCCCAATTGGAAGGCTTCAAGGCGGTGCGGGTAGGCTGCCCGCTGCAGCCAATGCACCCAAGATTACCAATTGGATCGAAGGCTTCAAGGCGGCGCGGGCAGGCTGCCCGCAGCAACCAATGCGCCCAAGATTCCCAATTGGAAGGCTGCCCGCTGCAGCCAATGCACCCAAAATTACCAATTGGAAGGCTTCAAGGCGGTGCGGGCAGGCTGCCCGCAGCAGCCAATGCAATTGGAAGGCTTCAAGGCGGTGCGGGCAGGCTGCCCGCAGCAGCCAATGCACCCAAGATTCCCAATTGGAAGGCTTCAAGGAGGTTGCCCGCAGCAGCCGATGCACCCGAGATTCCCAATTGGAAGGCTTCAAGGCGGTGCGGGCAAGCTGCCCGCCCAAGATTCCCAATTCTTCAAAGCGGTGCCAATGCACCCAAGATTGTGAGGGCAGGCTGCCCGCAGCGGGCAATGCACCCAAGATTCCCACTTGGAAGGCTCCAAGGCGGTGCGGGCAGGCTGCCCGCAGCAGCAATTGCAAGCAAGATTCCCAGTTTTTCAATTCGGTGCTGGCTGGCTGTCCGCAGCTGCGACTGCACCCAAGATCTCTATTTGCGTGCGCGCAGGCCGCCTGCAGCAGCGAAAGCACCCAAGATTCCCAATTGGACGGCTTTAAAGCGGTGCGGGCTGGCCGCCCGCAGCAGCGAACGCACCCAAGATTCTCAATTGGAAGGCTTCAAGGCGGTGCGGCCAGACGAAGACAAAGCTGGGAGTAAGTGACATTGCAACCACGACGTTTCTCTATGCTATCATAACGCGGGCATGGCCAGCCAGGTGGGCAGCAAAACCAAACAGAGTCCAAATCCAGAGCCTCAAAGCCCCTGAACCCATCTGATTATTCTCAGCTGCTAGTGCCCACCAGTCAAAGTACGTCGAACCCGAGACCTCGTCTGGCAAGTCCGAGTTGCGAGAGCATATAAACCCATACCCAAAACACCACAATCCTCAACACCAAGCCGTATCACCATATTCTAAAAAAGCAAGGCCCGCAGCATTGAAGCCCCCTAGGCCCTAAACCTTCGATACGATGCGGAGCCTTGCCTGCTGCGTGCGAGGGTGAGCGTCGAAACCTTCGGAGCAATTCAGCGCTGCCGAGGAACTCGGCCGAGCGCTTCATCGACTTTGGGTCGCTTGGAGATGTGCGATGTATTGGAGCATGTTGGGAAGAAGTGCTTTGTATTTGTGTTTTCTTTGTCGTACCGTGGTTGGGTAATGTTACTACAAGGAACTCAGGAACCTTCTAGCTTCCAGTTCCTTCATGCATTAAGCAGATGCTGCGCGCTCGTTCCGTTCAGAGGCTGCGCCCTCTTGCAAAGACATCCCTCGGGCTTCGAAGCAATCACACAATTTGCAAGCAGGAACTCACGGGAGAAATGGCGGTTGTACGAGCAGTGTACGCTTTATTGAGAGCGTTACCTCAAAGTGAAATCCTACTTTAGAACAGCCCTGCCCATCCGGGCAAGGCCGGTGAAGACAGGCTGGGGGAGCTCGGCGCCTCGGTCCAAAGTTTATTTTTTTTGTGTTTGGTGTTCTGTTGTCGTGGTTGTAGCCTTGCTTGTTTCAGCATGTTGCAGTGTAACAAGTTTTACTGTAGAATTTGAAGCTTCGTGTTTGGACCTTCAAGTTCTGAGGTCTGATTTTTATTAGGGACCGAGGGATTTGCGGGTCGGATAAGCACATTCTGATTGTTGTTTCAGTCCTTGCCGCACAGTGTTTTGACTTTCAGCCTCCTGCCCTTTGGTCGAGAAGAAGTTGTTGGAGACCCTAAATATACCCCGAAAGATGTCGGTGACGTAGAAGTGCATGCGGTTGCTGCCAGGACATGTTCAGCACACCGGTCGGGTGTTCGTCGATCAAGATCTCAGTGGAGCAACTTGGCAGTCAGCCTTCAAGCCGGACACCTGAACCTGAGTTCCCTAAACCCTCACATTGTGTATGCCCTGATCTGCTGCTTGAACCTTAGTTTCTGTCCAAGCTGGTTACATGAATCTCAAAACCAGAGGTATGCGACCAAGAAGCACACCAAGAGACACTGAAAGGATCTGAAAGGTCAAATGTTTCAGCTTATGCCCTTTTTGAGTTCTGGTGTCGAAAGGTAAAGGTCAAGCAACATTAGGGTCGGAAATTACATTCTGGAAATCTCGGTATGATAGTACAATACTCCCGAACATCCCGAAAATTGTGGTAGATGGAAGTCCCGACACACAACACCGGAGGCTACTGGAGGTCGTGCGGCACATGAAGACAGCGATTCTCTGAGCGGCGATGTCTCAGAACCCCTGACTTGTTACTTTCTACTAACCCAAACCGGTATAGCTCAGGGATGGTTTTCGGGGCCTAATCCAATTGGTCTGCATGTTACGGCGTAGTCGGTAAGCAACGGATCTCCACCCACTGTTGTCGTGTTGCAGAAATGGTGAGGCAGGTAGGACACGCCAGCCACTGTACCCCTCTGCATTCATGCGAACAGAGACTTTCAAAGCGATGACCACGGGGAAGAGGGCAGTGGAATAGCTTGGTCCTTCGTAGCCAGGGTTTCACAGCAACTCTACCAATAATCTTTTCGTGGTCTGGTGGCTCTAGTGGTGGAAGCCCCCACTCTAGGATGGACACTGGAGTCTTCTCACAGGAAGTGCGACACTTTTCTCATAAGCATTGAGGGAACCGGTGAATAAGTTCGAAGGCTCAGTTTCACGGGGCCGCTGCGGCAGCTTTTCCAACCCAGCTCGGCTCAAACCGACACGCTGGCTCGCCTCGACAAAAAGCACCGTACAAGCCAGAGAGACGGGTGCTCAGACCACATTGCTTCAGTTTCTTGTCAGGTAGACTGAAAGGTCAAAGCCCAAGCCCTGCAAAAACCGCGTGGAACGGATTACCAAAGCCTGGCTGCCCTGCACCTGTGGTATTTGCTAAACTCTACTATCAGGCGCATACGTCCCCAGCACGCTTTGCGGGCTCCCGGGCTTCAGGGTTACTCGGAGACCTCGTTGCTTGCTGGTGTTTGTAAGGTCTCAGCTGGTGCCCGGCCAGTCAGTTGGGCCTGCGGCAACAGCACCCAGGCAGAAACAGTCTGTAGTACGTACTCAACTCCACGAACGCTGCCTCCCCCTTCCTGCTGCTAAGCCGCCTGCAAACCGAAAGAGCCTCTGATGCTGGGCTGTCTTCTTGCGTGGGCTCCAGAGATTAGAGGGGCAGGCTACGAACCCAAGAAAGGTTTGAAGGGTAATACAGTGACCTTACAAATTTTGAAATAATTAACCTTTACTAGTTTGGGTTCCTTATAATATGAGTTCTAATCATTAAGGCCCCTACAGTACCTTGTGTCAGACCGTCGGACTAGATGGGCCGCTTCGCTCGGGTCCTTCATTTTGGTCCACCCTTGGCAAAACCAGGACTGGAGAGTTTCTGGCTCCTTTGTCTAACCAGAGTCAATGACGTTTGGGATTCCCGGCACACGGCCCCAAACAAGCCTCCGAGCCGAGTGTCTGAGGGCCGCAGCAGCGATTATGCCCACGCAGAAGCCCAAGGCTCTATGCAATGGATAGACAGATGCCTTATGATATCATGAGCCTTCACGGTCCCGCGCATAAAGTTTTTGTTTATTGTCGAAGGGAGTCGGGAAGCCGGACCCCGAAACGCGACCATGGTCTGTTGTAGTTTGCAGCAGGCAGCGCGCCACGGGCGGTTTTCCAAGCGGCAGCAGCAGCCCTGGTGCAGGTTGGGGCCGGGCCGAGTGATTTTCAGAACCTGCTAGCCCTGCCGTTGTGTCCGCAGCCGCACTGCATGATCACCACCACCACCATCTCCAGCACCCCTGCATCATGATGACGATCATCATTTGCGTCGTCGTCATCATCACCGCGATTTTCATCATTGCCACTATCATCATCAGCAGCATTGTCGTCACCGTTGTCGCTAGCACTGCCGACCTCCTCCTCCTCCTCCTCCTCTTCCTCTGCATTTTCTTCTTCTCCATATTCATGTTCATAGCCATCAAAGCACCATCGAACACCATGGAAGCATTTGTTTCGCTGTGGTGGCTTCAGTGGAGGTCCTTGAGGCAGGCCTTTCAGGGTGTCTCTCGGAGGCCCGCCGGGGTCTCGCCGCCGCGTTGCGCAGCTGGCGCCGAAGCTCCGCAGAACTTGCGGCCGTGTGAGCGGCCGACAAAGAGCAGCCCTGGAGGGTTGGAGGGGTCTTGGGTAATCATCTAAGCCACGTCCTGAAGGGTGTAGACTGTTCATAACATCACAAGATCAGTTGAGGGGAAAGTAGAACCCTATGTGCAATCCCAGTACAGGGCCCTGATTTCGAGTTCCCAACAAAACAGGGAGAAACGGGAAGAGGGCGCCGCGCAGGCGGATGCGGCCTCGCTTCGGACAGCGGCTGAGTACGGCATGAGCCCCAGGGTCCCGGGCAGGGCCGGCCTGGGATTTGGGATTTTTGAAGTCGAAACGGCCTGGTTCTAAAAAGTGGTGAGGGGAGGTTGTGCCTTCAGATCTCGGTCTTGGGGACTTCGGTGGAGGGTGTGGGGCATGCCCTGCGCTGGGCACGAGACTTTTCAAGTTTGGGACATCCCAAACCTCCCGAAAGCAGCCAGCAAAGCTTGAGCCCGAATCCGGAATCCAGAACCATATGCCTGGAAAATCTCAGCTCAGGTCTTGACAAGGACGCCCCCATGAAGCTACTCCATGCAGCCGGGGGTCCTGGGCTTCGGAGGTTTAGGGGTTTAGGTTGCTCCTATTCACGCTCCCCTGCTGAGGCCTAGCTGGTGTCGTTTGGGTCTGGTGGGGTGAGGCTGGGTAGGCGGCAAATGGGTCGGAGGTCCCGTGACTTGTGTTTGGCTGTTCTTGATTGTGGCCCGGAACTTGCTGGCAATACAGGAGCGATCGCGGGGTGCCGTATGCCTGCTGTTACCATGCCCGAAAACCCAGAAAATCTCTACGCACACCCAGCAAAGTCGGCATCCAACATCCAAGTGAGTCTGAACGACATGAGTGGCCGCAGTCATCCGATAAGACTGGAACTCTACAGAGAAGGTCCGCATGGGCCCTGCCGGAAAAAATCGTTTCCGGACGGGACCTCAGAAAACGCCGGAATCATACACACATAATATGATATCATGTCTGCCTGGATCCCACAGGTGCGCACAAAGGCTTCCGTCCGAAACGCTGAACCAGAGGGAGAAACCAATGCCCCCCCAGGCCGCAGAGGCCGATGCCGCGGAGGCGGCGAAGGCGGCGAGACTGGAACTACTAACCAACGAGCAACCATAGCAATGGCCGCATTGAAGTACGATTATTGCCTGACATTGGTAGCACTCCTGACGATCATCTTATTGAACCTTTGAACAAACATGGACAACGGAAGCAAAGATCACAAGGTGCTGGTACTTCTCGGAGATTCCAAGGATGGCGAGCAGCCCCGTGCTCAGCGTCCTTGCAGGTGCTGCTGACACAGCAGATGCTGTGACTGTCGTCTGTTTAGCAACATCCCGGAGTAATCTTCGCGTGGACTAAAGGTTCCCGTAGTAACGGAAGTTATTAGTTGTGGGAGGCTTGGGTGTCTTTCAATTGATTACAGTAATAGGCAATAGGCTATTCATGCGGGTCCTTGCTGAGGAATCCTGCGATGAACCGGGCTGTGATTGTTTTCGTTTGTCTGTGGCATTCTATGGCTATTCTGGTTTCTCGGCCGGCCCTGCAGCACCAAAAGCACCATATGGCTAAACAGAACAATAACCGGAACGGTGAAGTATGACAGTATGAATACTTATACCACTGGTGTCAGTCCTACCCGTGATCCTGGTAGCAGACTCATCCCTGTCGCTCCCGTTTTCGTTGAAGCTGCGAGTTCGGGAAGCGCCGGGGACGCCGTGGACGTGCTCGACAGACACGGCCGGTGCCTCCGGGCCGGGAGAAAGTTCAGAACACCCGGGTTCCAATTCTTGCAAGGGAGACTTGGTGTTGGGGCGGGGATGCAGGTCGGTTGGGATTTGAATGTCGAGTTGAGCCGTGGAATTGGCGGACCTCCTCTGCGAGCACCCGAAGCTACAAGCCTCTCATGATGTGTGATGCATGAATCAACAGTTTTTGCTGGGAAGCCCCCAACGCCCACCAAGTCTTTTCCAAGCACGCCAGAGTCTGGGAGCAAAGCTTGGTTTCCAGCAAGCTGAATCAACTACATAATAATAATAATAACAATAATAATAATAACAATAATAATAAACGTAACTACAAGACAAGACTTTGGCTGCTTTTCTCAGACCAGTCGACGGTGGGGTTCTTGGCGACCTGGAAGCCGCAAGAAGTCTGTGAGTTTCGGAAGCTTAAGGGATAGCCGGATCCTGGCTACGTAGGCTTTTTATTGGGGTGCCTCACTCGGATGTCTTATGTGTAAGAGAAGCAAGTTTTTAATCTCCGGCAGCTTCGAGTTGGTTCGAGATGCAAGGTCTGCTCTGCGGCGCAGACGGCGCTCTGTAGTGACCGGATCACAAACCTCATCCCGAAATGCAAACCCCAAATTCAGAACCTGTTTCGCTACATAGCTGTCTGCTCATGCGAGGACTTGCGCAGGGCGGGGATATGAATGCATGCTATGTGTCGCACTCTGAAACCATGTATGGAGATCCCGCCACTGTAGAGCTGCGAGGACAGCAGTCCACAATGCTATCCTAAGCTGGTGCTCCGATTGTAGTTTGACCTTCGTCGATGCTTGGAGCTTTGGCTCGGACTGAATACAAAAGACATGATTGGACACAGGTCGACCGATGAACAGCTCCATGTGCAGCCTAACACTGCAGCCCGCTACCAAAGGAGGGACAGACAGAGCCGTTGACCCAAGTATTCCAGTATGTGTGGGTCGTCACCCTCTGGTCAACCACAGGTCCTACATGCGGAACACGACTTTGCCTTCCAGCCCCGTGAATCCCTTCTGGCAAGAGGCCGAACACCGCTTAATACCATTAGACACTATACATATTCAGCAGAATGATCTTCAGTTATGACACCTTCCCTGCGCGACACTAGATTTCCTGGCGCAGGCACATCACATGTCTTAGGGTCTTAGGAGGTTAGGACTTATCCACCCCCCTCGACGAGCGGGTCGTGTGATGCAGCCGTCGACGTGCTACACACTTCATGACGCCTACGATCAGCAAGCTGCCTCCACGCCAGACGCCGTTGCGGTTGTCGGATGCTTGCCCTTTATCAGTTGAAGTTGAGGCATGTTCCATCTGTATCATCCGTGATGTTATTTAATATTTTCTTCCCTCTCTGTCGCTTGACTTTGCTGGTTGACAGGATTCGACAGGATTGAGACTATGACTGCGATCGGCCAGAAGTCGAGCAACTTGAAGCCTGAAGCCCCGAGTACTCCAACAAAGACGTATTAGTTGCGGGCTCCTGGTCGGTGCAATCGAAACGGGGCGAGGGTGTGTTGAATTCTCACTGCACTGTGTTCGTCGTCGTAGTCGTTTCGGTCGTAGTTCTAGTGGTCGTCGTGGTCGTGGTCGTGGTCGTCGAAGCGGCCGTCGTACTGGTACCAGCAGCCGCAGCACCAACGTCATTAGTCAGTGATATTCCGTAAGCCTTTCTCTAAGCAACTCAACGCTAAATGTGATACCCGTATACTGGTTGCATGAGTCTCGAGGCTGGGGTCGCTGCCGGTTCCAGCTGACCTATGGCGAGGCGCCACTGATCTTGTTGGGCTAGTCCGGTTTGGGATGGCAGGCTTATCGGGTTCAGAGACAACCTGACGTGCGATCTTCGGTTCCTCAGTTCCGAAAGCATCCGCCTGAATTTCCAGAGTCTTGCATAAAGATTGTGTTCGGACGACTTGGTGCGTGTTGATGACTTTGCATTTGCCGCAGGTTTCGGCGAAGTCGAAAGCACTGGCTTCCACATTGTCCAAGATCCGACATAGAGAGGACTCCCGGCGGCATCAACTTGTATGTGAGAGACAGGTTCTTCAAAGCCTTTTCATCCAAGAGACCGAAGGTCCAGTGGAACCTAGGTGTTAGGGGAGTCTTGCCAAAGGTGATTTGAGACGAAGGCCTTCCCAGGCTGCCAAAATTGGTTTGCCCCTACAGCCTCATCATTCCTTCTGCTTGGGACAGACATGCTCGGCTTTCAAGACCCGAATATCTCAACCCTAACACCTGAGCCTCGAACGCCCAGGCCTCAGACGGGGGCACACTCCCCTGCACCATGCAGTCCTACAGCCCCGGAGCCCTCTTCCCTAAAGTTCCTAAGCTGCTGAACACGGCGCGCTGCCTTCTCCGCCAAGCCAAGGAGAGTGGCGGTGCCGCCTCGGTGAACTGGACCGCCCCTCGGCTCAAGGCCGGCAAGCCGACGAGGACGACGGCGGCTGCCAATACTCGTAGTCTTGCTCCTTCGAGTATTGCCACTGCTACCTGAAGGGCTTCCCACCGCTACAGCACTCTAAGGTAGTCGCCATCCACCACTCACGGGAGGCCGTGCCGGGAAGTCGCTCTGGGATTTCGGGGTGAAGGTTTGCTGAGTTTTTTGGGGGTCCCTGCACAAGCCTTGGCTTAAGTCCCAAGGCGTTGAGAGCTTGGAATGATGCTGGTGTAATAATTCCAGCCAGCTGTTCCGCAGGCAGCTCTTCAGCTTCGTACCTAGGACCTAGGGGCCCGGACATGCGAAATCGACGCCGTCATGGGCCGAGCAGTCTGCCCTTTCAGAAACAACTCAGAAACCCTCTCTCTCTCACCGTATTTCGCTGCCATGTTTGAAACTCTGCTCCAGGTCTTATGACGGGCTGCGGGATAGTTTGGGGAGGGTTTCGGGAAGCCTTGAAGCGTTGCAGATGTTTCGCATGCTGCAGGAATCATCGGAGCTCAACGTCTCTCAAATCTAGGTATGCACCACAAAACAATCTCAAACCAGCATCCCCGATCTTCAAAACAACCTTTTCATCCTCACCCCGAGTTCTCGACACGAACACTTTAAGGTCCTACTCTTGGTGCAGCTCTTGCAAGTGCGTTCTTCAACCCTTGGCCGCCCCACTCCCGTTCTCCCCGAACTCCAAATCCTAAATCCCCAAACAGACCTTAAAGTACAACTAGCCCGTCAGGCAGTACTGGACTAGCCCAAACCCCTGTTCTCTGAAGCTGACCAGGACCCCGACTTCCTCCCTACGCTGCTGGCCGCGAGCCGCTGTGGACAACGTTTTGCCGTCCTGCTGCGGTTTGATCCAGCCTCTGAACCCCTCGAATGGCGGGGGGGGGACTACATAATTTATGGGATCCCTGCGGCTATGGGCCATGGGTTCACCCGCACACCAAAACCCCCCCCCGACACTGGAGCATCGAGCGAGGGCGGGCCTGCTGAGGTATTGTTGAGCCGGGATCTCACCGACGAGAAGTGCCGAAGCTGCACTCAGTGACTTAGTGCCAGGGAGGGTAGGGGTGAAGGTTCTTCTGGCAGTTGGCATGTCTACTTTGTTTTCCAACCAGTGCTTTGCTACTAAAGTCTCATGAGGAACACTCGCCTAGTAAACGTCTAAGTTTCATGTTGGGGATTCGACTGGGTCATCCTTGTGGCCACTTCGACCAAGTACGCTTATGCAGAAGCACGGAGATTGACACATGAGCACTCAGAGGTTCAGGGAGGAGCCCCGACAGCAGTGCATATGTAGAGGTTCCGAAGTCGAGACGCAAGGCTTCGTCTTTAGCAACATACAAGAAACCAGTGCCCAACCACCAGTCATGGGTCCACTTGCAGACTATTTTCAGGCTCCAGCGATCTCGGATGCTTGGCAAGAACTTAGTTTGGCAGGTGACGGGTTTGTGCAGCTTTGCCCCAAAGACATCAAACCCTGAAACTGACTTGTGCCTTTGTAGTAGCTTTGCTTTACTTTCAGATCCTGGTCTGGGATGAGGGAGGCAAGAGGCTCCACACTGGTTTGCTTTCCGTGCTTTCCGTGCTTTCAGGGCTTATGGTTGAATCCCGATGAGCTTGCCGGGAGTTTGGGGTCAGTGATCCATCCGCCGGTAAAGCAAAGACACCTTCCGAGCTGTGAAGCCGAAGAATCGAGGTTTAAGGCGTCCCAAGCCGTGAGCTCCGCAAGGAACGAGTTCGTGCTGCACGCGCTTCGACCCTGGCTGGTCATCGGCGGAGATAGCAACGGCGAGGCGTCAAGAGGAAGACTAGCAGAATAGCACACTAAATCATAGGAATGAGCTTTTCCGTGCTGTTTCTTCCGATGTCCATTTTGAGCTATTTCCCGTACCCTCGGACTTGCAGATCGTCTCCCTCAGGCGCACTGCGCTGTGCCTCGACTGGCTGGGCGCCCAGCTCTGTTGAGGGAGGGTTCAGGGCTGAAGACTTTCAGGAAGGCCCCCTAAGTCGTGATCTAGGGCCTGCATCAACAAGGAACCTCTTCGACCAATCTTCCAGAGTCGTCAAGTCCTGGACCCTGGCCCTAAACCCCCATTGCTTGGTGGGAAAGCTTGAGGAGGAGCCCCGTGGACATTTGCTCAACGGCGACGGCACCTCAGCAGCTGTTGGAAGTTTTCGGCCTTTTTGTTCCTCCGTCTGGGCTTGATTCGCGGCTTCGGAGTGGTCAGCTTTTGGGGGTTCAAGTTTTGAGTTCGGCGTGGACGTTCAGGAAGTGGTGGTGTGCTTTTCTTGGATGCCGTGTCCCAACGTCCCGACGCACAAAAACCCCTCTTCACTTCAGACTACTGCGCTGCGGCCGACCCCTCCGACGTGGTTTGCTTTATATTTACTGGTGGCACAGTGCGGACCAAGATCGTTGAGGTCACGCACAGGACGCGGTATTGCGGAAGAGGGCTTGAGCATCGCCAGGTTTCTTGGTGCCTCATGCCTATCTTTGCCAGAATTGCCTTCTATAGTATGTATGGTTATATGATGATTTTACTATCAAAGTCAGTTTGATACGGGCCGTTTGTTGGGTCTTGATGGTGGCATTAGGCAGTATTACCAGTGCGAGAAACACTGGTACAGGGGCTGTCGAGGCAGTCATTACGATAGCCATCATGGCAATCGCAAGAACAATGCAATGCCATTGTCGCTGTTCCTGAATCATGGGTACATAGCACTAGCAGTGTTATTTGCAGTCTTGTCAGTGTCATCTGGCGCTCGAAGGAGCCTATTGGGGGATAGTGCTCTGACATGCTCTTACTATTTCTATTGCCCTCAAATGCATCAGTCGTTTTTTGGGGCTGAAGCCTTTGCAGGATGTTCCTGCACGAGAAGTCGAGCTACAGGGCCCCTCGGACGTTGAGGGCTTCAAGGTTTCAGGGTTTAGGGTTTTGGTTGTTAAGCTCCTGGTTGAATACGGTTGATACGGTCTGGGTCAAGGTTATGGGTTGGGGGCAGGTTTTGGGTCAAGGTTAAAATTATGTTGGTCTAGCTCTGAGTTTCGGCGCAGAGATGTCGTCAGCTTTGCATCCGTCGCCTTAGCCGGTTTTGTGGTGTGGGACTTTTCGACAAGCAACTGAAACGTTTCGACTGAAGGAGGCTCGGAGGTTCGTTGTTGAAGACAAGGCCAGAGAGCTGTAACCTGTAAAGTGTGCGGGTCGAAACCCGTAATCATAATCAAGGATCTACATGGATGGTTGTCAAAATTAAGGTCCCTTTTTGGGTCTCGAATATAGTACGGCACCTAATGTTTAGGGTACTGGTACCCAAAAAGGGGACCTAATTTTGACAACCACCCACATGGAATCCATCGAACCAGCTTTCGGGTTCTGCTCCTCCCTTATATCCAAGGGTAAAAGGAGGGGGTAATGAGGACCCCTAGGTATATACCCTTAATATAGCCATTATATACCCATTATATAGCCCATTATAGGGTAGGGGTCCCCATTAAGGGTCCCTTCTTGTCCCCTTTGATTGACATGGCTATGGGCTCCAGAACTAAGGCCTCGGCACCAGCCTTACTGATTGCTAGTGACATACCTTGACCTACTAAACCCTACTTTTTTATTTGTAGGTTCTTATTTTATAAACCCTAATGTGGGATTTATAGGGACCCTACAAAAAAGTAGGTTCTGGCAGGTTAGGGCAGGGGAACGGGAGATGCGGAGCGTTCCTTGTCGAAGATAGCAACTTAATGCACAAATGTGGCCGAATCTCTGACACCCACACCCACACCCACACAGTGCTGGGCTAGACGCCGGCACGTTTCACTTGTGCAGGATCTCGCGACATTTCAGCCAATTGAATAGGTAGTGGATTTGATAGGCTGTGTCATTTGTTGCATCTGGATGCACAGCTGACGCACTGACAGTGAAGGATTGATGAATGGATGCGAAAAGCATGCGTGTTTTGCTGGAGTTCAGATGGCTCTCCGTTGGCTGGGGGACTTTAGAAGGGAGTCATGTTTCATGCTGCCTGTGCAACAAAAGCCCCGCAGCCCAGAACTAAACTCGAAAGCAAGACACCCCAGAAGAGTCTCGACACGGCAACCCTAGCTTCCCGAAATCCTGAGCCCCGAATCCAAGCAAATCCCGCAGCCGAAATGATATCCTACTGAAAGAGGTGTATCCGAACTCAGCCACTAAGCCTGACCAAGGAGCTTTGGAATCCAAACCAGCCGCCGGTGGTGTCTCGCAGGACAAGGGCACGTAATCTAAGAATACACGCAATGACAGCCTTTGCGGCTTAGGGTCTTAGGTTTCGGGGTTGGGGTTTGGAGTTTAAAATAGCCACACCACTACTTTCAACACCGCTTGCAAAGTATATTCATCAGCGTGCGGCTCGGCAGACAATGAGTGACAGTGCCAGTGATAATAGCAGTGCCGTCACCATACCTGTGTGAAACACAAAAAAATTGAGACTACTTATTCTATTTTATATCATAAACGTATATGTAGAGTCTAAGTCATATAGTGAATTTACGTACCCTTACCATAATGGGACCGGAGGGCACGCTGCTTTGTAAGGTTTAGGGTTTGGGCTTCTCGGGTGGTTTGGGTGGGGGTTCGGTGCTTTGGCGATTCTGGACAGTTTGCACGGTTCCGACGAGCCCGCAACTTCCACTACGATTCAGATGTTTTGCAACGGATTCGAGTTTCGATTATGATTATATTGTTTGGTTTATAGTTGCATAATATGGATCAGGCTTTTGTTAATGGATTGGCTCAGTCAGGGTTCATAATGGGAGCCGAAGCTTTGCCTTTGCGGCGATCTACAAGCAGAGTTGAAGGCACCCTCAAGCATGTAACATTAGCAAGGCCTGGCTGCCTGAAGCGAAAGTGTATTGGAGTAATAATAGTTCCGAGAGCTTTGAATCTGAAAGCCGAGGTTCTGGCGCATACCAGCGTGTACTGGGCTGCGTCCGCTCTTGGTGTCCTGTCTCGGTGTATTTTGGCTAAGGATGTCAGACTGTTATCTGCTCGGCATCCACTTGGCCAGATGTTATATGTGGCCACATAGGACATAGGACTTACAGGCTTACAGGGCATAGTTTAGTCTTGCTGCTCGACTGCTACCACTCGGACTGGGCGAAGACTGAGACACTACAGGAAGCCCGCTGCCAGGTGCAGACTACAGGTTTGTAAGACTCAGTTGTTGATGGAGTATTGTGCCTGTGCTTGCAATCTGCACCTCCGATGTGATCAGCAGCTGCATGTAGTCCTGTTGCGCACGACGGTCTCGTTGTCAGCCGTCAGCCTGTACAGGTATCTAGTTCGGACAAGCGGCAAGGGGTTGTCTCAGCTTGTCCTTGGCTGCTTTGTTCCTGCTGGTCCTGTTGCTGATCTTTTGCTCTCGCCACTCCCGCCTGACCTCGTCCACTGCGACTGCCAAAATATACTGCCTTACAGGCTTGGGTTGGCCGCTGCTGCGACGCGCATACGGGTATAGCAGATTAATTAATTAACCTTGAAACCAAGTTACGAGCCAGCTTAAACAAGGACAGCTGAGCATTGCCTTGGCATATGCCGGAACTGCTGTGGCACGTCAGCATTCAGCATTGAGGGCTGGCAGGGCTGGTTTCTTCAGCTGTTTCCTCAGCATTATCAGCCCATGAGAGATCGGAGGTAAAGCTGATGGAGCATAGACTTTCGGATGCATGTGGGGGATATGGAGCAAGAAGTGAGAAGTGTGCGTGGCCATGCCTTCTCCAGCCTCCTGCCAGATTTCAAGCAGTAGACCATGAGAGCCACTTTAAGAACCCCAGAACCCGCAGCCCTTCAATGAAGCCTGAAGGAATGAAGGCCATGGAGCGAGCCTAAGGGGACCCATGTTGAGCCGCCGATGCCTCAACATGCGCACAGATCCTCGAAGCTGTAGCTGGCCGGCGGATGCACTGCTTGACAGCAAGCTGGCTAGAAGAGGCAATTGATGCCAGGGAGAGAGCACTGAAACTCCTTGAAGTTTACAGCTTGAAGCCACAATGAAAATCTCTTTACCGCCATGGACTGTGCAACTGGCTGTCATGATATGGTTCTGAGTGTCGGGGCCCCAGCTCCCAATGCATCCTTGTCTGTCCGAGAAAGCCTGAAGTGCAGCTGCGGCACCATCGAGGACTCGTGTGTCCTTGCGTCCGTTCTATAGTGAAGACCTGAAAATTGTCGCTTCCTTTGCCCAGCCATCCCCAACCAGCAGCTGTGAGCCCGAGGCCTTGCGCCCACGACAGCAAAGGGTGCTACGAGATGCTTTCGCACTAAGATGCGAGGGCATGGCCCAGCTTCGGCAAGGCAAGTATGCGGAGGCCATCGTGGACTTTGACCAGGCCTTGGAGTTTTCACCAGAAGATGCCCGTGTGCTGATGTTGCGGCGGGGATCTTTCCCGGCTTTGGAATTTCTGCGACGGTTGCAGTGTTGGAGCCGTTGTGTGGGTCGACAAGGACCTCGTCCTCGACCAGGTCGAGGACCAGGGTCGACCCCTTGCAGCTGCCGAAGCTTGCCAAGAAGGGATCTTGGAGGTCTTCCGCAGTAGAGTTGACGGATCTTCTCAGGCTTGCCTTGTCCGAGGATCAGCTGGCACAGAAAGGGGCGAGCTGAGTCTTAGGTCTTAGGCTTTCTCGCCTCTTGCAACTCTATCCTGTCGTACGGGGCTTCACGTCTCAACCTGAATCGCGTGCTATTTGTGGCATCTTGCAACTGCGCTCCTCGATGCGCTCCATCCCTCGCAGCTTCTTTCTCAACTTGGCTGCCTGCGGCACATTCAGGGCCCATGCGCTCAAAGCATCTCTCCTTCTTTGGCTTCCTGGGCCGCCCTGCCTCTTTTTCGGCTACAGTCTTGGGCCTGTCGAAGGCCGTACAAGTCAGCTCCCTCTTTAGTGTAGGCTAGCGGACAAGCAGACAACGATCGCGCACGGCAGCGCGGTGCGCGCGGGACCAGGTGGTGACATTGCAGGATGCGGTGGCGGAGCTCTTCCCCCGAGCAGCCCAGGCTTGCTGTGACCGGGAGCGGGTGTGGCTCCACTCCCGGAACGTCGCTGTAGCCGAGATTGAGGACAAGCTGCTTCAGAAAGTGCAGGAGCGCCCGTTCTCCAGCTACATCTGCATCAAGAAATCAGAACGCCTCGTCCGTCAAGAAGAGCAAGCAGCCTTAATCCGCTCGCCTGCCGACTTCATTGCGGCTGCAGGCGGTGCTGTGTCCCTGTCGAGGCGTGCGTTCCCAAATTCGGGTGCTGAGGAGCAGCGGATCCGGCTGGCGGAGACAGAAGATGGCTGCGTCCAAGCAGACCATGTCCTGGACATCATTCTGCAGCAAGACGCACGCCCTCGCCAGGAGCAGTCCCTGAACGTGATCCTCACCCTAACCCAGAACATCTACTTCCTGAACGTGCAGAAGGGCTCGAAGGGCTTTCTGAACATCCGCGTGACCAAAGAGGAGTATGATGAGATTTACCGGGCGACTGGCCAGAGAGGCTGTACTTTTGGAAGCCCCATCCAGCTGAAGTTGGAGGAGTCTCTCGATGCCGACGATACGACTGCTTTTCACAAAGTAAAGCTTCCATGGCTGAGGCGCCGCGTCGAGGAAGACTTGAAGCTCTTCGGGATGCGCACGGAGCACATTTTGGGCATCACGGGCTTTCAGCTGATGCCTGCCTACACTCAACACTTCTGCCACGTCCTGCCGAGAGAAGGAAGCTCTGACGAGCAACGTGTGCTGCTCCTTGCAGGTGACGTGGCCATCTCGCACCACTTCTGGCCAGGTCGGGGGCTCAACACTGGGCTCAAAAGCGTGAAGGCCATCGTCCGCATGCTTGAATGTCAAACGGTGGCAGACTGGTTGCAGCGATACAAGGCCTTCATGACCAAGCTCCGCATTCCTGAGATGCAGGGCCGGTCCGTGACGATGATGCAGGAGTCCCTGCAGTTGGGCTGGGGCTCTCGGCTGCTGTCCAGCACCACAAGTGGCAGGCTGCAAATGCTGTTGCCTTGGGCTGACTGGTGGCATGCGACCAGCACCGCAAGGGACCCGATCACGGCTGCCAAGACCAGTGAGGAGATGAACCGAGCGAGCTTTCTGAAGAGTTGCAAGCTTTGGCGCGATTTCTTAGAAAGAAGTCCAGGATGGAACAATGCTCCGGTCACCGATAATCTCTTGCACACCCGCATCATGACTGAAGTTGCCAAGCCAAAGGCACTTGAGTTGGTCCGCAGCGCCTTTGACAATGGCCCCGATAGGGCACACACTTCACGCCAAGGAGGGCGCGAGGTCGATCAATCCAGCCGACGACGAGCAGTGGGCATAGATGTCTTGTGCCTAGGCCTAGTCGTGCGCAGAGTTTTTCTGTTCTGCTTACGGCAGGTCCACAAACTTGAATCCTGAGTACAGTATATGCCACTGCCAAGAAAGTCTCTGCGAAGCCAGGCCGGCTATAAAGTGAACAGAGGGCCGTGCGAAAAGGTTTTGCATTTTGCTGTTTTATGCTACTGCTACCTTCGCCCGCCCGGTCTGCGGACCCTCCGACATGCATCCTTACCATGCAACTCTCTTCCTACATGTTCCGACTGCTCGACCCATGTCCAATTTTTATGTTGATGTTTTCTTCACCTGGTCTCGCATTCACGACTGACCTCTGAGTCCATGAGAGCGACAGAGATAGGATGGCACATCCGAGGTTTTGACCGAGATGACAGAAGTGGCAAAGCTTCAGCAGTGCATTGCCGAGGCTCTGGGGCAAGCCGTGGTAAGCCCTGCAGTGAAAAGACATGAACAGACTTTTCCCGCCACCGTGCATCCATGCAAGCTGGCTGTGGGAGTTTCCGTTTGTTGCATCCAAACTCGTTTCAATTCTCAACCGGAGCGCTGCTTGCAAGGGCCTCCGGTCGTCCAGAAACGGCCCTAGACATTCCTAGACCCTGTGATATCAGGAGCAGATCACAGTGCTGGGCGTGGTTCCTGAGCATCTGGACTGGAGGGCTTCGCGGGGAGTTACCATGGAAGCTCATCGTATGCTTAGGGTTACGCATTTGCAGGATATTGGAAGATCCAGATCTGCAGCTTCCGATCGCACTGCTTACACCCTCTCAAATCCTCCATGTCAATGCAATGCATTCGTTAAGTTAAACCGCTTCCCCATAAAATGCGAGATGCAGCTGTCCACCCCGTCCACCTCTATATCAATATCTCGACGCAGTCACGACCGCTATGTCTACTGACCCTGAGCTCCTGCCGCTACCAGTATCTGAGTAGTCTTGTATTGTAGTGGTGGTGTTTGGTAGGTGTACGAAAAAGGGTTAATCATAATCATAATGAGCTTAAATGAATCAGTCATGAATCAGAATCGTCTTGCAGCAGTAGCGAGCAGTGCACGAGTTGTATTCAAGCCTAAGAGTTGTGTGCGTCATCCGCGAGGACCTGCTCGCTCGCAGACCCGCAGAGGCGGCGGACGGGCTTGCCTGAGTGGGATGTTCGGAATCTACCTGGTATGCATGAACTTTCTAGACCAGCCCGTTCCTGCACCGAAATCATGTCAGGGTGATGTTGTGCTACTTTTGCTTCCCGTTTCACCATGAATGGATTGGGCTTGAGGCTTCGGACAATTCGTTTGCTCTAGCCATTTGCATCGCAGCATGACGTTTGGAGGTACTTGGGAAGTCGAGGAGGCAGAGATACACACACCTTTGTCGATTCTAGAGGTATTGGGCAGCCTTTTATCTTAATTGTTGATCGTTGTTGTGTCAATGTTGTGGATGGAGGCACAGGGCTGAAGTCCTCCTTCATGGTCACATTGTAAGCGCCAGGATTTGCCGAACATCGACCTCGTTTTCACCTGGGGAGACCCTTGGCCGCCCAAGTCTAAAGGAAGATTGTGCGAGATGTGAACGGTTGAGTGGCAGAACGGGTGAGAGTTGGGGATATGCACCACAAAAATATTGCTGTACTCAAGGAATGACCGAAAGATAACCCAGCGAATTATGGCAACGACAGGGCGCAATTGAGAGTTGAGGCATCGTAGTCGTTGGGTTAATGGCTTTCTAACCTTCTAAACCTCCTAGTAAACCTTGGGGGTGGCCATCAAGTGGAAATGCTGGAAGTCTTGCCTGTGCGGCGCGGGAAGGAACGGCTGCCTCCACAAATTGCGCAAAGGCGGGGCGGCGTCGGCGGGCTCGCACTTTCGGGTCGCAACTTGAGTCGCGCCCATTGCCGTATGCACATGTATCCTAGGGATACCATTCCGATTACAATACTCCCAAAGGTAGTAGTACCAGGTTTTGCAGTGACGGTTTCATGGTTTCTCGTCAGCGCGTGTATAAAGTATTTGTCCTTTGAGGAAGATGGACTTTGAGATTGAGAGCACTCCGAATGGGAGTCTGCAGCTCGCGGTAGAGATCAAGCCTCAAAAGTTTACGCCGCCCAAGCACAACTCGCAAACCCCATACGTAAACCCTTTTCGTGGGCCTTTCAAAAAATGGCGACGGCGAAGCGGCACTTCTCGCGAGGTGGCGCGGGCACGGGGCGGCGCTCCGGGAGCTCTTGGTCTCCTCAGAGTATTGGCCGGGAGCCCTGTTTTTTTCTGGTTGCTCTTTGAAGGGGTTAAGCGGTTAGGGGTTAAAGTTTAAGGTGTTTAGGTGTTGTGTAGGTTGGATGGGATCGTTTCTCTTCGGCTTTGTGGGTTTGGCTTCGGGGTTTGGGGCTTTTGATGACTGCTTGTTTGTTTCGGGATTAGTTTTACCGGCTTCAATTTCAATTCTTGAGCGGGGAGGTTGGGCTAAAGGACATTCGGGAACAACAGCAGCCTGCCCGAACCAGAAAATTGTCTTGGGGGACAGAAGGCTTCAAGGTTTTCCATCTTGCGCACTTTGCTTCCCAAACTCTGGCACTGAAAGTCAGGCCGTGAGCTGCATGTGACGAAGCGCGTGGGAGGGCACTTGTTGCTAGCCGGTGGTTCCGCAGTGTTCGTGGCCCCACTTCTCGAACATGAAGGCTACAACACTGAGTTGTAAGACTGCATGTGCGTGTCAAGACATGCCTGAGGCTCACGTGTTGGGCAGACCCGTTGGAGGCTCACCACTGGGCTGTTGTCGTTTCGTTTTCCGGTATCAAGTGAAGTTAAGTTCAGAGTTTCGGAGGAAGCCCGTTTGTAAGCTTCAATGCAGAGTTGCCTCAGGGTGGGATTGACGATGCAGAGTTGCCATGGATTCCATCCAACGTGTTTAGAGGAGCATATCAACACATTCTGCCAAGCTTTTTGGAAAGAGGATGGGCTGCTGCACGGCGTGCGCGCAGCCAAGATTCTGGTTCTCACGGACAAAGGCGGGCCCACCGTTGCAAGTTTACCAGCTCAGTCAAGCAGCCAGGAAAGCTGCATTTCAGAAGCTCGGAATCTTCATGTAGTGGAGTTTTCGCTTGAGCGGCTTCTACATAGGTGGCCTATTCTTCATCGATCATCGCCTCCGAGTTGGGTAGGTTTCCTGAGAACTACGAGCCGGGTTTCATATCCTCCGGAGGTACCGAAGCTGCTGATGGAGAGCTGGGGCTTCTCTGCATTGGGGGTCCGATGGTGCTTCGGCCAATTCATCGATTTTCGGACCCTTGGTACCTCACTCCGTTGGTAGGACACGGCGCGAAACCTAGCAAGTTCTGGTGTAAGGGCCTTCCTATCCCAAACTAAACCTCTTGACTGCAGAACACAGAGCCTGAGATCCATCTCAAGGAATGGGATGAGGGGGTTTTCGGTTCGACGATCTGAGCAAAGCAGCTGAACTTAAGGTGCTAGTCCTACCGAGGGACAGTCCACCTAAAGCCCCCATGTGCCAAGCACAACGAGGTAATGGCGGGCTATCACCAGAATGCCCGTGTCACCACGCCCACGGAGCCACAGTCGCACGTGAAGCTTGTGTCAATGGGCGGCTTAGTCGATGCTCGCTTTGTTAGAGACAGAAGTCCAGGCAGGGTCTGACAAGTCCTTGCAAGTGGTTTAAGTGGTAGAGCAGTCCATACATCTGGTAGACGAAGGACGTCTTCCTAGTGCACGAGGACCAGTGCCGATCCCAGAGAACTTTTGTCGGACAAAAGCTCTTGCAGCGAGGACGTGGGACGCGCAAGCCTTTTCAAATCAAGCGGAAGCAAAGACCCGAGGCGTTATTTCCGGACGAGCGATCTGGTGCGTCGGGAGCGCGGAGGTGTCCCGTCTCGCAAGGCTTTGTTGGCCTCAAGGCTTGACTTGAGCTTCGAATTGAGCTCCTTGAAGGTGCAATGGTTTTTGGTGGGGAAGTTGTAAAGTGCGAGGTTTGCGGGTTACGATACAAATTTAAGTGCCATCTTGCGGGGTCGGAGGATGTACACAGGCAACAGGCTTGTGAGCCGGACTTCGACCTTTTGTCCCTAAACCTTGCACCCCAAACCGGAAATTTTGAACTCTTAGCCCTCTGCGCCACTCAGGAATCGTTTTCAAGGGTCGGGCCGACATGATGGCAAAGTCTGGCGGGAAATGGGTGGACATGACAGCTGTGGAGGACATTCGGCCATCTAGCCGCTGCAGTTTTGTTGTGTCTGCGGCCCAGGGTTCTGCCATTGCTACTGCTGATGCTACTGTATGCTACATGCTGCTGCTGCTACTGCTACTGCTACTGCTGCTACTACTACTACTACTACTGCTACTTCCACTAATTTCTAATTACTACTTACTACTTACTACTTTTTACTTACTACTTACTACTACTACTACTACTACTACTACTACTACTACTACTACTGCTACTACTACTACTACGACCACCACTCCTACTGCTGCTGCTGGCCATCACCGCCACGACGACGACGCGTTTTTGCGACTAGCGAATACTACCACTGCCTCTGAAACTGGCATTGCCAACTCCCGAAGTCTCTATCGCCAACCTTTGCATGGAATTGCAAAGGATGCCATCAACAGCACCCCCGGTGTCCACGCTGGGAAGATCCTTCCGGCCTCTCTTCGCAATTTCGGGGTACATGAGGGCACCTGAGAAGAACTCACTCAGTAGCTTGTTCTTGGGGAGAAGAGAGAAGCCCTAAAGGGGAAGGACACAAGCTCTGAAGTCTGCAATGCTAAGCAGTCAGCAACCGACGTTGTTCCTGCTCGGACTTTGTTTACCAAGTCTTTGGCTGAGTGTGCTTCAGTAATAAAATAGTGTTTGTAGTTTCTTGAGCCTCTTGTTCGGAGTTCCGGTATTCATCCTGCTAGGTGAAGCCCCGAGGAAATAATATTTAGAGCATTTAGGGTTGCAAACGGGTCAATCACGAGACTACCCAGCGAACGGGTTCATGGGCTGAAGGTTAAGGGGTTTGAGGTTAAATGACGCTGGGTGTGGGGTGTGACCTTGCCCAAGACCCAACACCAAACG